CCCCCAGTTTTTGTTGGTTTGTTGTTTGTTTCTGTCCAGGAAAATGGGAGGAGAAAGAACAAAAAACCAAGATCCTCCTGGCAGGAAGGGCGAGTCGACAGAAACTTGGCATCCCTTCGTGCCTCCTTCCCCTTTGAGGGAAATAACTGTGCCCTTGAATTTCTCCACTAACTCACCAAGGAGGAACCGAAATTAAAAACCTTGGAGAGTAATTAGCAACAAAACGTTCTGATGTCAAGAAGTGCATTTTATGGGACCATATTTATAATATTAATTGGGCCTCTGCGTAGCCAAATGGTGAAATTATTGCTCCCATACAAGTGGGCCCAGAAGAGAAAAACAGCCCAAAATAGCACAGATATTGCAAAGCAGGACAGAGGTGATTTCTCTCCGCGCGAGAAGCGACCAATTGCAGTGCCTTCCCCAATCCGCTTGCGTGAAGTGCAAAAGGAATCCTGTGGGGCGCAGCCGCGCCCACCCCATCTCTGAATTGCTCCGGGGCTGGAGCTGGAAAGGGAGCAGAGCCCGCTCCCACCACACCGCATGATTTTCACCCGGAGGTGTGAGGCGTTTTAACCAGTCACTCACCATGTGTTTATTGAGCACCTATTATGGGCCAGGGCAGGGAAAGCTCACGGTCTTTCCCATTACAGAGTTTGCCATCCAGTTGCGGGGGGGGAGAGACACTGAACCAATTATCACACCGAGGAATCTCTAATTAAAGACATAAGTTCTAGGGCAGAAGAGCACAGTGTACAAAGCGAGCACCCGCCTGGGGACCTGACCTAGTTTGGTAAATCCGGGAAGACTTCTTGGAGGAAACAGTGTTTAAACTGGCACCTGACAACGCAGATGAGTCAGCCACGTACAGAAGGAGAGAAAGTGCTCTGGGCAGAGGGAGCAGTATTTGGGGAGGTAGGTCTGGTGAGGAGGGAGCTGGATGTATCCGAGATATGAAAAGGTCAGTGTGGCCCTAGCCAGTTTGGCTCAGTGGATAGAGCGTCGGCCTGTGGGTCCCGGGTTCGATTCCGTCAAGGGCACATGTCCGGGTTGCGGGCTCTGTCTCCAGTAGGGGGCATGCAGGAAGCAGCCGATCAATTATTCTCTCTCATCATTGATGTTTCTCTCTCTCTCTCTCTCTCTCTCTCTCTCTCTCTCTCCCTCCCTCCCTCCCTCCCTCTTCCTTCCTCTCTGAAATCAATAAAAATATAGAAAGGAAAAAAGAGGCCAGTGTGATCAGGATGTGACAAGTGACCAAGCAAGTGGACGGTGGGAAGAGATGTGGCTGCAGAGGGCGGCAGGGTTGTGTCTTGGGGCTTTCTGGGACCCATGACATGGGGGCAACAACCATTGCCAGGGGCGGAAGCAGAGGTGAGAGATGTAAGAAGGGGCCCTACGGCCAGGCCCCTCAGGGGGATCCTGGGCTTGTTGGGGGGACAACCCAGGCAAAGGCCCATCCCCTGGAGTCCTGGGCTCGGCTGCATATTTGCACATTCCCCACCCTCCAAACACCTGTGCACTCCCCACCCAGGGCCACCCGGCTTCCCCTCCTCGTCGAGCCAAGCCTTCCTGGATCTCAACATGCTCCCCTGAGTGTAGGCGGAGCCCCACCTCCCAAGACGCAGTCATGGTTTAGGGAGCCCTCGGGGAGTGATCTGGACCAGGAGCCGTGTGATTTCTCATGAGAGCTTCTTGCCAGGTGGCCCCTGCTGAAACCCCAACCCCAACCTGCCAGTCTAGGCCCATGGTCGGCAAACTGCGGCTCGCGAGCCACATGCGGCTCTTTGGCCCCTTAAGTGTGGCTCTTCCACAAAATACCATGTGCGGACTGCCAGGCCTTGGGCTTTTTCAAGTGGCCTCGAAACGTACGAGTCGAGCGTGAGGTCTCTGGGTTCATATCTAAATCCGGATCCTTCCCAGCAAGGTGACCCCAAGCCCGTTGCTTAACCCTTCTCCCCGCGGCTCTCTCCTCGGAGGCCCGGGAAGAATAACAGCTTCTCCGTCAGGGATGCCAGGAGTGGGGAGCCGGGAAGCGCTCCCAGGGCTCGCACAGGGTAAGCATTCCCTCCACACTGGCCCTCGCCCGCTCCCCACCCCCTCAGATTGCCTCCCAGAAGTGCCGGGTCCCCTGGCATTTGGGGAACCAGGCTGA